AGTCTAACGCATAAAGGCAAGGAAAAACAGATTCTCAATCACAGTCTGGTCCCAGGCTCACTTAATTCATGGAAAAGATCCCAGTGACTTCTGTAGACTGAAGATGGTGCCTCCAGGTCTGATTTTGACCAGAAGCCAAAGTGCTGGTGTGTTGGAGAAAACAACCTCCTCAATTTCAGTAAGAGGTATTTACTTCTCTTTACCACTATAAGGTCTGGACGATCCAAGACACAATGCCTACCTAAAAGGAAACAAAGCTTATATTCACAGCATGCTTAGCAGCTGAAATAGTTAATCAGTATGTGAAATACACACCTATCTTAAGAGAAGCTTAATGTTTTAAAATACAAACCTCCAACAGTCTGAAATAGTGGGAATTCTTTCCTTTCTAACTTAGAAACATGGTGCTTGGCTGACATTAGCAAGTGAATTCTTATTTACAAAGTGCCCTTATGGTGCCCTGTGAAATTCAACACTTTTCTCCATGAAAATTGGCGCTATGTATCATGAGAACATAATCCCCCAGGACAGGAGAAACAAACCTCTCCTCCGCAAACAGATGTGCACACATTCCCCACCTCTGTAACTTAGGATGCCTTTTGGCAAGGAACTTCAGCAGCTGCACATCTGCAGAGGTGAAAAACTTTCAGCAGAAAATACAGAGGATCTTATTGCTCCCACACCTGCAAAGCAAGCTCAGCATTTGTTCCTCTCCAGATGACACCCTGATGAGTTGATTAAATCATTCAGAAGCATGCCTATTCACATTGCTTGCAAAACACCATGGTTATGACAGCATCTCACCTGAACTGCTTACAGCAGTAACATGGTTTGTCAGCAAGAACTTAGCAAGCACTCTCACAGAGTATTGAGGGAAAAGTGCCTTTCAAGGACACTGTTAATATAAAATAATTCTACACAATACAACTGTGAGACCACTTGTTATTAGGGAAACACGTAAAGACCTGTTTAATTTTAAGCACATGCTCAAAGCCCACTATCTTCAATTAGATTTGAGCTTAGTCCAGTCTCAGCTTCTCAGAGCGAAAATGACATACAGTACTGGGAAACAGAGAGCTCTTCTGGGGAGGTTTAACCACATGCTCAGATCTGTGCATCTGCTTAAATGATTTGTCAAACTGGGAGCACTATATAGAATATTTAAACATATAAGGATCACATAAAAAACTCCACTATTCCTAAAGTGAAATTTAATCAAAACGTGGAGCACCTAAGAATGTTAAACGAATCTGGCTACAAACATCACAAGTCTTCTTCCCCTGAAACACTCACTCTCAAGTCAAATTAACCTTTGTGCAAATGACTAAAAAGGCAAACCTGGTAGCATATCTGTGGCAGGACAACGGCCTCATGATAAATGGGAAAGAAGTCTAGTTGATGTAGAAGATCACAGGATGTTTAATTAGTAAAAACCTTTACTCATCACTGTTGCTATTGCTCTCTGTCCAGCTCCCAGGAATTAATATTATTCCAGCTTCAGACTGGTTTCCATGATCCAAGAAGATGAGGCAATACTCACATGAAAGATGAAGACAGTATCAAGGTTCACAATGCTCATTCACTGAAGGACATAATTCCTTCAAACTACTGTCTGTCCAGCTGTGCTTGATTTCCCCTCAGCATTACTGTGGGGCGGCATTATTTCCAGAAAAGGTAGAAATAAGGTTATTGATATACATCAATACTCTAAAGAAAGAAATCCTAGTGTTAAATATCAGATTAAAAATGGGTTTGAATGGGTTTGAAAACATCAGATCCTTTTGAAATAGTTTGAAACATGAAGAATTGGTTTAAACTCGGCAGAGAAAGCTGGAACCTGACTGTATTCTGAATGTAGGGGACTTAGTCACTCAAGAGATTTCCATCTATGAATTCCCTTAACTCTAAAAGGGCTGGCACATTCTCCCTGTGTTGGCAAAAACTTCAGTAAGTCTTTCATCTCAACCGAAAGAACAGCAGGATGCACACCTATACATACAATCCAACACAAAGGACAACAACACAAAGGACTCCCTATATGAACCAAGTTAGTTAGGAAACACTCAAATAGTCAAGCCAACAATTTCCAAGGTTATCTATGTCATGAAGACATCCTTGTTTATTTTAAACCAGCATGAGTTTCAGTTGCAATACAATCAGCCACATTTACTGGCAAGCAAGTTCAGAGGCGGGTTTTGAAGGCAATCCAAATAGGAGGTAGGATACGAAAGTAGGGTTCCATTGCTTACATTCCACTCCCTAGTGAGTTCAATAAACAAGACAAAAAAAAAAAAAAAAATTAGCTACTTGAAGTGTTTTCTGCTTACTTCTTCTTATGTCTGAGATTTGAGAAGAAACTGTTCCTTTTGTGGATAACTATATGATTCATACTTTGCAAAGAGTCCCCTAACAGTCATGCAATTCTGCTGCTTTTTAGTTTCTTCTCTCCCTCCAGGAATTCAAATATTTCGAGATCAGTGAACCCAAACCATCAAAAAGTAGATTAATAATTGTTAATAGATACATAAATTGAACAGCAAACCTAGTTCTCATGGTCCTCTGATCAATTCACTTCAAAGCCACAGCAAATTGAACATAAGAAAAATCAGTAACTGTCCTTTTGAGAAATTGTGCTGTGTTCTGATGGAACAACTGGATGACCATATGCATGTATTACAGCTTGCCAGTAATTACTTGAATTTCCTTAGATACAATAAAGTCTTGCCACCTCACATAAGCATTAATGGTGCCATTAAAACTTGCTTTTGATCATAGGATTGCCAAGCCATGTTAAATTAACATGGGTCAACAAATGCGTTAGGCTGTACTAAAACAAGATTTTCAGGTCAATTCTCCAAAGCCTTGTTCTTTCACATGCCCCACGCTGAACTTTCCCCACAGCAGTCATGGTGGTGCCAAGCAGTTCTGAAACATTTCAAAAGAATGTTAACCTTAAAGAAACTGCTTCTTTTTGCTGTGGGAAATACCACTAGTTAAGCAACAATAAGGAATTACTGTAATAAAATAAATACATGTTGTATTTTTCTCCACCCTGAAGTAGCATTTTCCACAAAATTACTTGGAAGTTTGCCTGTTAACTCTCAGTACAATATGGTAACTTTCACTATCTACCAGTTTTTTTTGTTGTTTTTCTTTTTTTTTTTTTAATTATTCTCTTGCAGCAAATGAATAAACATTATGTTTGGATCTGAAATCACAGAAGTGGGGGGTGAAGTTGGAGGTTTTAGGGGAAACCAATTAAAAAAGCAGTAAGGGAAATCTGTACTATGGTACAACATCAGCATTGTTTCTTACAATTGATGTCTGTACGTTTAAAGTTTTGTTTTTAAGCTAATCTTCCTGTAGATAGCAATGTATAAATCTGTGGAAAATATGTTAAAATATGACTTAGATAATGAAAAAAAAATATTTAGGGACCTTAAATATGGGTAAGGGATCAGAGAAACCACAGAACTATTATATGAAGTTATTCTAATGTAACAAAATTGTTTGCATATTGACAGGTTACTAGATTGATTCCTTGTAGCTATCACAAAATGCACTCTTTTGGATATTAGAAAGAAATAATGCATTTGCTCACCAAAAAAGATTCTCTAGAATTGGGATTTCAGACAATATGCATCTATAAAACACAGTCACTTAGGAAGACTATTCTGAAGCCTCTCAAAACCAGCTAAAAGATACTACTGCACAGTTTAACATTCACGCCTGAATAAACCCATGAAAGAAACACATTTGATTTGACCAGAAGACCCTAAGTAAAAATTTAATAGTCTTCCAGTCCTGAACACTTCACTTTTAACAAAGATTTTCAGTTCTTGATTTTATTTCAAGGAAAAAAATCATGGGAAGTTTAAGAAAATACTTTGATTCACTGAACAGTTTGCAAGCTAATCACAAACTATTTATTAGATTTATACAAAAACTCGAAAACAAGAAGTAAAACCCAGTGCCAATCTATTGCAAAACAGCAATGACCAATATTTTTGACTTCTGCAGAATGGAGCATCCCATTTGTTTACGGAGCAGAGAACAAAAGACAAAAAATGAAAAACAGCAGCCCTAAAACAGCCATAACAACAATAACAAAAATAATCCTACCAAAAAGACAAACTGCAGTAGATATGCAAGAAGGTGCAGAGTGTGTGCACTAATTCCATAAACTCAGGTTCATTAATATGATTCAAAGACTTCTAGAAGTTGCCTGCTAGTGTGTAGGGGTTACGCTCCACGTAATGAAAATGTGCAACATAAGCATCTTACTACCAAATGCCCTTCCTTCAGTATATGAATTTTGAAAAGCCAAGTTAAATCTTCAGAAATGTTTCAGTGAAAAAGTACTTTGATGAAAGAGCTGTTTTAGTCATTTTAAATATTCCCTTAAAGGTCCATATCATCCACAGTGTTCCAAACGACTTATTTACCTGCACAGAGAGCTCATAAAGAAAGGAAATATTTGAAAATAGACAAAAGGTCTTGCAAACTTAAATGAGCTGTAATACTCTTCAAAAACAATTTAATGGCACTCATAGGAAGAAACGCCCACAACATTCACATTGTGTGTGTCTAAGTTACAGATTTTTTGGTCCAACCCCCAGTATGTGGTACAGAGAACTATATCCCAGAAGCATGCCATCCCACATAAACACCCACAAACAGCCCTTTCCAAGCTCTTATTCCTTGTGGCATTAAAAGGTTCTTTCTTTATCTGAACTTAAAGAAGAAATATTTGCATTCAGAAATACTAATGCTTATCACTCTTGTTTTTTGGGGCTTCTTAGTTAATGTTTCATCTGTGTGCATTACAGGTTATAGATACCTCTCCACGGATATTGCTGCATTCAAGAAGATAAGCACACATTCAACAGAGGTCATTTAAAAATATATACGTATTTTATTGTGGCCATAAACCAACTGCAAAAAGCTGCCAATTTTTAAGATTTTGTTTTTAATTTCTTTTTTTTTTTTTTTAATGGAAGATGCCTTCAAGCAAATCCTTGAAATACTTTCCTACGTTCAAAATCAAACAGGGAAATTTAGACTGACCGCAGAGGCCAGGCTGAAAGCTATGCCCAAAGCCATATGAAAGGTACGTTTCTCAGATTTGCTAGAAAATCAAGTGCAGCATCACATTAACAGATCTCTGTTAATATAATTCTCAGAGTGAGTTTAAATATCTCCAGCGAAGCATGCACAACAGTTAAGGTAGAAAACATAACTAAATCTACTTTCTATTAAATAAGAAACACTACTGAATTGTGTGCTAATATGTTGTATAAATATGTCAGTAAAAATTGTATTAAGTTCACAAATGGCAATGTAAAGTGACAGAAATCCAAAGAAGCTTATAAAATCTTCAATACCTGATGTTAATTATACTGAATCCACTTCTATTTAGTATTTTCATACTGAACTACACGTTCTTGCTTGCTGTAGTTCAGTAATCATCACTTTAACTCGACAGATAAGGGAAGTCAAGGAAAAAAAGGAGAAAAAAAATTTGTGTGGCTGAACTAAGAGCTTAAAACGTATATTCAAGCCAAAATTCTGACCCCTAGGCAGATTGTCTCAAAGGCCAAAGTGCTTGCTTTCCACTGAAGATGAAAATTTTCTAGTATTTCCAAAAAGATTTAAAGTTATTAATATTCCTTCACCAAATAAAGAATTATGATAAAACAAGAATTTGAGTTTCTCATCTCTTCCTTCACAAAGTCCCCCCGTCCACCACTCCCCCCCCCATGCCATGTTCTTAGTTATTTTAAGTTCTAGATAATAAGCCATAATCTACCATAAAAATTGGTTTGGACTACAAATTACTGTCTATGGAAACGCAAAAGATAACAAAAAAGCCAAGGGAAGACTTAACTGTGCACATCTGAAGATAAATTAAAAACTTTAGGTTTTGATTAAGCCCTATAGAAACTGGGTTAAAGGGGAGATTGTTCTTACATCACCTTCCTTGAACTCAAAACACTCACCTGCTAATTTTACTAGCGTACAAAGTGAAGCTGCTGAGTTCCAAAACTACTTTTAATGCCTATAGACCACTGCTAACATGGATTGTCTTTACACTTTGATTACAGAAAAACAAGCTAAAAGAAACTAAAAGAGCTAACTCCCTGAGTTGCAAGAGAGGTAAAGAACAAAGAAAAAAGCTGAGCTCAAGAATCATGAGAGATCGCCTTCAGGAGCTTAAACTCCGAGCCAAAGAACTACAGATGGCTGGAGAAAATAACTGTCCACCTGTACGAGACGAGCAGGAAGAGTTTGAACAGCAGGCCATTATTTATGAAAGGGAGCCTATAACTGAAAGGCACTTCCATGAAATCCAGAAGCTTCAGAACGAGATCAATAATTTGGTGGAGGAAGTTCAAAAATTCAGTCAACAACAAAAAAGTCTAGTATCTTCAATGAGAAGGTTCAGTGTTCTTAAAAAGGAATCTAACACAGCAAGAGAAATAAAAATTCAAGCAGAGCATATACGAAAAGGTTTGGATGAACTGTCAAAAACAGTGAAAAAAGTTGAAAGTGAATATGGGTTATCACGTGCTATAGTAAGAATTCTAGCTTCCCAGCACACTTTCCTGTCCCGGTGTTACCTAAATGCTATGCTTTCATACAATGAAGCTATAACAGCCAAACAAGAGAAATGCAGAAGATTTATTGTTCGTCAGCTTGAAGTAGCTGGTAAAGAGGTATCTGAGGACGAAGTCACTGATATGCTCCAACAAGGAAAATGGGAGATTTTCAACGAAAATCTACTCACCGAAGCCAAAATTACTAAAGCTCAGCTTTCAGAGATTGAACAGAGACACAAAGAACTGATCAGCCTAGAGACTCAGATCAAAGACTTGAAGGACCTTTTCATCCAGATATCAGTTCTGGTAGAAGAGCAGGGGGAGATGATCAACAACATTGAAATCAGTATGAACAACACTCAAGAATACACCCAAATATCTAGAGAAAAATTTGGACTTGCAGTCAGGTATCGAAAAAGAAACCCTTGCAAAGTAATATGCTGCTGGTGTTGCCCATGCTGCAAGTGACAAAGCAGCAGCTCTTATGCAGGAAACTGAACCTATCAACCAACCCCAGGATTCTTTCATTGCTTCATTTTTCTTCTCTTTTCCCCTTCCACACTTCCACTGAGGAAAAATTGCACCTGTTTTTCCAAACTGAGTTCAAAGACTGAAATGAGATCTTCATCTGTGCCTAAATTTTATGATTTCCATTGAAACACATACACTAGAGGAAAAGATCAAAGGAGACAAATAACACTTCCTTGTTTTTCCACTCATAAGAAGCATCAACAAAACAATGTACCAATCATGCCATATGTGCTTTTGGGAAACATCAAAATTATTGTAAATCTCAGGATTCACAAGACCAGTTGAATTACCTGTTATAAAATAATCAGTATTCTTTCAATTGCTGGTTTTTTTTGTTGTTGTTGTTTGGATTGGTTTGTTTTTGTTTTTTTTTGTTTGTTTGTTTGTTTTGTTTTGTTATTGTTGTTCTTGTTTGTACAAGTGCTCATATTTAGTTGGTTCAAGTTTCATTTTTTCCTCCCAAAATACAAATAAAGTACAAATAAAAGTAACACAAAGCAGGCAATCCCAGTAACAATCAAAAAACTGATGCATAAACTTTTCTGACTTCTTGTTTGGTTATCAAGACTACATATCACCACCTGTCTGAGAAGAACTGTGCTCCATTTTCTCTGCACCTCCCTATTATGTAGTGGTGGGATTTCCCACCTTGGTTTCTTCCTACTTCTGAGCAAATGCAGATCTCTTGCATCTCCTCACATCACACACTCCAGCAACAGTTCAGATTCACTGCATATAATCCACATTTGCCTTCGCTGTCCTTCTTGTCTCATCATTTTATCTCTATTTACTTTTTATTTCCCTTGCATCTTCCTTTTCACTTTAGTGTCTCAGGTTCCCACTCCTAATAGCGCTATTTCCATGTACAAATGCAGGTGTTTACGCGTCCCCAGTAGTTACATATATTTCTGTGCACAAATAAGTATATTTTCATGGATGAATACAGCGTCCATGCATCAAATATTGTATACTTAAATCAATTTAAAATTATACTTCGCAATGAGATTTGGATAACTAAGATGGTAAACTCCCGTAACTTCATTAAAATAAGCAAGCAGTTTTTCCTCTATTTTTGCTGAATGTAAATCTTCCTTAGAAAAACAGTATAAGGTGCCTAAAAATGTATTTGCTCGATTTCCATATACATAAAAGACTGATTAACCACTTAAGCACTTGAGCGCACCACAGTTAAAGCTGAAGAAATAGTTGAAGAACTAATGAATCCCTTCACAAAACTAAGATACTGCACAAGCAAGTTCTGCTCAAAGACTGCAGAGAGTCAATTAGAAGGAAATAACATCAATAAACTTAGTTTAGTAACAATTAGGCCCAATTAACAGACACTGTCTCCTGATTAGCCAATGACAAGGATCGGAACCAGGACTAAATACCAAGGAAGTGCGTGAGCTCTGTGGATGTTAAGATAAACACCCACATAAACTCTATCACAGGATTAGGGCAGAGATTCATATGAAAAAAAAAAAATAAAATAAAAAGTTATATGTGTTTTGAAACACTGCACAGTTGTCAGTTGCTCATTTTTAGAAGAACAGATTTAAGTTAAGCTAGTTGCATTAAGATGGCTTTATTGCCTTCTCCATCTATTAAGTTAAAATCTAAACTGTTTTTCAACATACAATTAGCTTTCTTAACTGTAATCCATTTCATCAAAACAGATAAAAAAGCTTCACTCTCAAACCACCAGAATATCACTACTCCTTGGAAGGCCTCTCTTTTCAGCTTTAAGCATAGATTATTTATAATACAACAGAAACGTACAATTACACCCAACAAAGATACTGTTCTGAGAAACCATTTTCAACTTTAAACTTAAAAAATAAGCTATGAAAATTGTGTTTGTTACCATTTTTTTCATTGCTGAATTTAACAAAATATTACTTCCAGTGTATCACAAAAGATAGTTTTTAAGGAGATCAATTAATGACTTTTTATCTATTTTGTGAAAGAATATCTAGACCTTTTGAAACTTCAAACAAAATTTCCCACCAATTAAACTTAAAACACACACACCAAAGCAAAAGCAAATACCAAATACTAACGAAATAAGTTTTCTTTAATGAGATATTACTGATCACGCATCATCAGCAGCACCACGTGTTAGGTGAACAAGATATTAATTACTAAATCTTTACAGGCATTGCAGAATATAAACAATCGTTTACAATTTATGGAATGGATGTAGGTCAAAATAGAATTATAGAATGGCTTGGGTTGGAAAGGACCTCAAGGATCATCAAGTTCCCTGCCACATGCACGGTTACCAGACGCTAGATCAAGTGCTACAACAGATTGCCCAGGGCCCCATTTAATCTTGCTTTAAACACCTCCAGGGACAGAGCATCCACAGTCTCTCTGGGCAGCCTGTTTCAGCACCTCACCACTCTCTCAGTAAAAAACTTCCCACTGACACCTCATCTAAATCTCTCTTCCTTTAGTTTAAAACCATTTCCCCTTGTCCTTTCACTATCAACCCTTGTAAAATGTTGATTTCCCTCGTGTTTGTGAACTTCCTTTAAACACTGGAAAGCTGCAATGAGGTCTCCCCACAGCCTTTAGTAACAACATTCTTACAAGAAGTTGTAATTTCAGATTTGCGCAGCCTTTAACCTACCGTATCATTTGAAATATTACTTAAATTTTCAAGAGTTAAGAAAATAATTTAAAAATTCAATGTATTTTTATGAATACTGAAAGAGAAGATAAAGAAATATCCCTGAAAAAGACTAGGAAGTCAGATGCAGTGAATGTGAAACCACATACACTTCAAGAGGGAAACCAGGAAACAAGAAAGGAAAAAAAGAAAAGGCTCTGTTAATTATTATAAGCAAATACTTCAGAAAAACCATACAACTAATTGCAATATTGTTTAATGCTAAAATATACTGTTATTGTACATTATATTTACACTATACACATATACTTCATCAGAAGGTATACTGAAGGTCAAAATGGTCAAAATCTACAACATTTCAGATTATGAACAAAACATTTATAAACATTACTTACACTAACACGGGTTTCCCTGATATCTTAGGGCTGTTTAAAACTTCAGTCATGGCTTCCTTTGTTTCTTCCATTCTTTCAATGTCACTAGAATCCACAACAAATATTACACCATATGACTCAGCATAGTAATTTCTCCATATGTTCCGAATTCGTTTTCCACCTCCTAAATCAAAAATGGTGACTTCAAAGCGTCCCTGTTTAAGGTCAATCTTGGAAAACCCCACCGTTGGAGCTACGTCTTCAGGAGACTCTGTCAGAGAGATCACAGAAGAACTTTTTACTGAAATTTCTTCAGTCATTTAAAGGAAATTTTACATTGTAATTTCTGCAGAAAAAAAAAAACAAACAACCTATTTTTTAAACACATGGAGCAAGCTTTCAATGTTACTTGACAGCATGTTGCTAACTACATATTTAACATTAATATTTTACTTCTTCTCAGGAAATTTTATATTAACACATACTCTCAATCAATTATTTTACATCGATTGAGATAGAAGCACCAAGGAAGAAAAAAACAAAAAGCAAAAAATGCATTCTTTAATATTTAACACTACTTTTGAAGGGAACTGTGTTTTTTTGTTTTAATAACAGACCCATTCCATCCCAGGTGCACCCATCCAAACAGTACAGAATAGCATACAGCAGATGTATGGTATTAAACCCAGTCTGAGAAGCAAAACAAAACAGTCAATGTATTATGACCTGGGAAGCCTTCCGAGTGAGAATGTGCTCATCACACTCCACATGAGGATTCAGAATAGACAGACCCTTTGCCAGAGCAGCTTAGGCCAACACTCCAACAACAGAATGGAACACCTGTTTGTGAAAGATTCCAACTTCAAAATTCAGTCTTTGTACTTACTGTACTTGCCTGTACAAGAGAACATTGAGAGCATGAAGGCTTGCTAAGGATGAAAGTCACTAATCATGCAGAATTTAAGATGATATTTAAGGTTGAAACATTCAGTCCTGTTGTACTGCAAGATTCAACAGTAAACAGTCTGTGTGAAAAAACAGCATCTGCTGTATAAGCTGCAAATCCATTTTGGCAAATATAACTGCTGACTAGCTGATTTGCCCACATTTAAGAACCAAAATACGTTTGGAAATGGTTTCTGCTAAAACCCACCAATCGTAACTGTTGGTAATGATCTGTTTTTACCAAGCTTGAAACAAACAAACAAACAACACACACACTTGAAGGTTCTAACCTCTGCAAGTTCTGTTAGAGAACAATTTTATTCTTTTCCTTAAAACAAACACTATTCAAGTCCTGTGAAATAGTCACAGAAGTCAGAACTACCTTTTCTATGGAGCCTCTCTTTAGAAATATTTGTATCTTCTTTTTTCCTCCCTCCCAAAAAAAAAAAAAGAACTTTCAGAAATAACAATAATTTTTAGCTGATAAAGACATTAAAGTTGATCTTGAAACAGAATTGAAGGCTAAATAATGTACTCGTATTTTCACAGTAAAGATTCAGGAACACAAATGAGAGAACCCTAATACATTATTCCTAACTTTAATCAGAATTGAGCAAGTCACTGAACTTGCATAACAAGTGTAAACAAAGTCAATGCAAAGTCTGTCAAAACAATTTTCAGCAGTATTTTGTGTAAATGAGATGGAAGTTAGTAAAAAAAACAACTTCAATCTCATAAGTAAAAAACACCTTAGAGACTATTTATTTTCATAAGCACAATTTTTATCTCAGATCTTTTCCTGCTTGAAAGTGATATCGGGCAATGCAATTTACCCTCCAAAATCAAGTGGTCTCTTAAGGAAGAAAGTGCCTACAAAACTGCTAGTATTTTTCTGGAAACAAAAAAGAAAGTGTATAAAACATATATCACTAAAACCATTCCTTATGTTATACACATACACTTTCATTTTTTCAAATTTTTTCCTATTTTCTTATCAGAGATCACACAGCATGTGCAGGACAACCAAGGGATCAGGCCCAGCCAGCATGAGTTCATGAAAGGGAGGTTCTGTCTAAACAAACTTATCTCTTTCTATGATGACCAGCCTGGTGGATGAGGGAAAAGCTGTTGACACAGTCCACCTAGACTTTAGCAAAGCCTCGAACTCCATCTCCCACAATATTCTCATGGAGAAGCTGGCAGATCATGGTGTGTACTCTTCACTGGGTAAAAAACTGACTGAACAGCAGGGCTCAGACGGGGCTGAAAGGAGTTAAATCCAGCTGGTGAGCAGTCAGTAGCAGTGTTCCCCAGGGGCAGCACTGGGGCCTGTCCTGTTCAATATCTTAACTAGTGATCAGGATGTGGGGATTGAGTGAACCCTCAATAAGTTTGCAGATAACACCAAGTTGGGAGGAAATGTTAATCTGCTTGAGAGTAGGAAAACACTACAGCAGGAATTGGATGAGTAGGCTAGGCCAATTGTATGAGGTTCAACAAGACCACATGCTGGGTCCTGCATGTTGGTCATAATAATCCC